GGATAGATTGATGTAATAATTTGTTCAATATAGACTTCGTTTAACTCAGGATTAGAAGCAATATCAAGATGTCCAAGTGTTTACATTAAATAACGTCCTGATTATTTAGAATCTTTAGGATTCTGCGAGAAAAAAAATGTTTATTATGTTTATTAATCTGATACAATGGGAAATAAGCCAGATTTTAAGCATTAAGCTCCGATTTTTAAATGTAAAGAAGAAAGTAGCTGTTGGTAAAGAAATTTTCTTCCTGGAGCTTGTCGAGCATTCGATCTGAAAGTCAAATAATATGATTAAAAACAAGACACAAACACAGTATTTAGATTAAGCAGAGAGTTCAAATGTACATTTCTTTGTCTAGCTAGGTAATCTAATTATCTAATTTCAGACCAATTATGGAAGTTTAACTATAAAATGGAGGAAAAATAGGTTATATATACTATCCATTTATGTGCTGTGATAAAGGAGTTGAAATAAGAGATGAAAATAATTCATTGTTATATTCTGTCAAAGGAAGCTGTTGTCAATGGCCCTTTTTAGTCTAATTACCTTGTGAAGCATGTTAAAGAGCAAGATTTGATATTATCGATTCTCAAGGATAGGTATGTTTGATCAAACTATTTCAAGAAAATTTCAGAATTGTGGAAAGAATCAGCTGGATTTTGCAATGCACTATGTAATGTGGATGCAACCAATTTTAGATTAATGTTTCCTTAATAATCTACAAGCAGATAAAAAGTATTATTATTGGCAGCTGCCTTATTCATTGACTTTAATTATTTTGAAGAATCCCCCTAAGATTAAAATAACGATTCCTTATGATTTTTTCATATATTAAGATTCATTAATTTATTGTCATATTAAAAGATTGCATCAATGAGAAATTAATAATTTAGATAGACATATATGTTCATTTATTTATTCAATTAAATTTTATTGATATAAATATTATCTTTTGATTATTGATATAATGAAAATAAGTAAACATCTTAACCTTCTTGTTCTTATTAAGAAAAACAACTAATTGTTTCAATACATAAAATCATAAAACAACTAATAATGATAAGCATAAAGTAGAAATAGAGTATATAATTTCATATTATAAATACGATTATTTAAATTTGAACTTTTATTTTTTTATTCAATTTTATTCAAGCTTAAGATCAAAAGAAACATAAAGTTATTTACAAAAAAAAAACTTTTATATATTATTTACTTTAATTATTTATACAATTTCATTTTGAATTAAATATATCTAATAACTTAATCTAAAAGCTATTTAGAAAATTATATATTTATTTTTTTTTACATTTTTTCTATAGAATACAAAGATAATTTAAAATTAATTAATTTTTAAAAGGTTCCTAGAAAATTATAATTAAAAAATCTAATTAAATGACAGAGCAAACTGTCTTAAATAAATGAACTCTTGGATACTTATGAAAAGTAATTATTGAAAGCAAATGTAAAAAACTAATTTTTATTAATTAGAATAGATTTGATATTTGGAATAATATATTTAAGGATAATCATAACATAAATAATTTATATTGATTTTTGAGTTTATTTCATCAGATTGGTTGGGAATTTTTGAGACTAAAATTTAAGTTATACAGATAAAAACAGAAAGTTAATATAAATGTTTAATATGAAATATTTCAAATTGAAAGTTCAAAAATTTTAATGATAATTCAAATGATTGTCTCTTTATTATTGACATCAAGGCTATCAATATATTTTTATTAAATGGTTAATTAATTAAATCCTCATAAAAAAATAAATCTGATATTTAAATTTAAACTTCATCACTTAGTTGTTATCTATATTACATTAATATATTATAATGTAGCTTTGTTAATCTATTTTACTTTAAATATTTCTGTAGTCTTCTTTATCTGTGGATAGAAGAAAAATAAAAAAGATAATTTATTTTTGAATTAAAATGATTCCTCCTACTTGGAATGAATTTCTTGAATTTATTAGTGATATTTAAGATAATGAGCTTGACAAACCTCTACTTTGTTAATTCATAAAGATACCCAATAAATGCATGACGTCTATTTAAATTAAATAATATTTCAGCAAGGACTTTCAAAAGTATAAAAACTATTATAGCAGTTTAGAGCTAAGATTAAAAGAAGTTGCAAATGGGGAGATAGAGAAAAGTATTTCTTGATATGGTGTGTATCAAAAATAATAGCCAAGCTTCAGATAAAATTTCAAGAAGTTGTAATACTTTTTACCTTTTAAATATGGTGTAGTATTTGTATTAAGTGTTTGAGAAGCTCTCAAATATTTTGGATCTTCCAGAGTAATTTTTGTTAACAAAATGGTTGAGTTTGCTCAAATATAAACTTAAATTACAGCCTTGGAAACAAGAAGAAGATGATCTACTTATTGAATTAAGATAGTATTAATTATTTTTAGAGTAGGCAATATTCAGGACCAAAGGACTGGACGATAATTACAAGGGAATTTATAAAAAGAAGTTAAACTGTAAGGTATCCAAAATAAATTCGCGAGAGATTTAATAATGTTATCAATCCTAACATAAATAAGTAACTATTTACCTGAATCTAGAAATGAATTCAATAAAGATGAAATACTTTTTATTTTTCGAGAAGCTTAGAATAAGGATAAGAATTGGGCTGGAATTTCTAAAATAATGCCTGGCCGAACTGATAATTAGATCAAAAATGTTTATAACTCTATAATAAGAAAAATTTCTAATGAAATGAGAATGGTAAATACAAATATAATTTATAAGAACTATTATTCTGAGGTTGATGAATAAGTTATTCAAAATCTAATTATCCAATAAAATAATTATGATCCAAAAATGATCTCATCTCTTTTAGAAGAATTTAAAAGAAAGAAACTTTGTGTCAAGACTGAATCATGCTCAGATTATTCTTAAACTTCTGAACCGTATTTTTAAGGCGTTCCTTTCCAAATGGCCTGCCCTTATATTAGTTATTCGCCTTTCCAATTCCAGAATATCTATTTTTGCCTTCCCTAATTCTATCTTTTACCCCATTAGAGCCAAATAGCAATTCAAAACTTTAATGAAACCTGAATTTATTTTAAAGTGTATCTAAAATTTCATCCAGTATTTAACTAACTGCATAATTTTATAAACTATCTTTGAATAATAAATTATATAAACAAACTTAATTTAACTATTTCATTTAGGTTCAATACTTAAGGTGGAATTAATATTTCAATAATAAATTATTTTATAAAGAAAAGTTAAAAATTTTTGCATCTAATTGAATTTAGGCTTGTCAGCAGCTACTTATTTTCATCATAGAATCGAATGTGTATTGTTTCTTATCGCATCCTAATCGACTTGATCATCTTATATTTTCAATAAAATATATCTTAAAATAAAAAAAATCTGATTTACGAGGGATTATGCATAAATTTATAACAACATCACACTAATGGATTGATCATATAAAAAAAGATTTTATATTTACAAAATCAAATTTACTTTTCATTTCTTCTAATGATTAGATTAAATTACTTTTTTGTAGTGTATAAATAAAGAAAAACTATAAAAAAGACAACTGATTCATGATTAGCATAACATTCTATAAAGTACTCTCTTTATTCAAATAATTTCAAATAATATTAGGTTTGAATTTTAATGAATGAGACATAATTATAACCTAAATGGGATTTTAAAGTGCAACAATTGATTATGATGATAAATGAAGTTTATACAATTATGAATAAATTTTGAGTGCTATACAAAATTTATCTCATGCTTTTTAATTGCATTTATAAATCTAGTTTCGGATCAAGATTAGACAACCTAATTAAAAAATCTGAAATAAAAAAATTGAACTTAAGATAGGTTTAGCTGCTCAATAATATCATTTAGACTTAATATCATTCATTAACAAGAACTGAACTTAAAGCAATATAATATGAATTAATAAATTGACCAAATATAAAATCAATGAGTTTTTTGTTAATTATTTGCAATTGGAACTTAACAAGATTAATTTTTGGAGAAGATTTATTATTTTTCAATAAATTTTAAATCACAATAAATTTTTTTGCCTCCTTTTTGTGAATAATCTATATTTAAGCTCAAAAGGTTTTCTAATGCCTCTTATTCTTTGAAAATTATTTTGAATTAATAAAAAATTTATAAAGGATCTAAATATTAGCATTTTGTATGTTTCAGTGAAGTAGTTAGAATTTGTGATAATTTAAAAAAAAAGCTAATTATCAGTATTTATTTCTCATCCATATTAATCAGCTAAAAAAATAGCCTCTATTGATAAATTTTAGATTTTCAACTTGATATTCTGAATAAAACTATCTTAATTCTTCATCCTCAACTCAAAATCAAAATTACATAAAATTGTTAAACCATACACTGAAAATGTAAAAACAAAATATAGTTGTCAAAACAAACATTTTGGAACACGGTTAAAAAAAATGAATATGAATATTTTTTTATTAAACTTTTTTCAATAAATTATTCTGAGATTTAAATGGTTTAAGTTAATAATATTAAATATTAGAGAAAGGATAAATAAATTTAAATAAATAAGAGTATTAATTGGGCAGGATTAGGTTTAATTTTATATGTTTTCTGGATAATAGGTATTTTGTTTAATTTTTCATAACCTTTTCCGATAATTTTTGGTATTTAACCTTAATCTCTATTCTAGCGTTGATCTAAAAAAGTTCTACAGTGTCTATGTGATATCCCTTTAGGTTACTCAAGGTTTTTAACTGGCGTAAACGAATTGGAAAAATAACCTTAAAACTTCTTAAAAGATTTGTTAGATAGTATATTTTGAGGGACTTTTAATATTGTATTGGCTGAGTCTAGTGTGTAAATAACATTATTAACCCCTTTGTAAAATATATTAAACTTCTAATCTTTTAAGATTTGATAGCATATATCGTACTTACTTTGATTTCTCTAGCTATTTTGAGACCTTTTTTTTGTTCCGATATCCAATAATTATTTTGAGAAAATGCAATTAAATTTAAAATCAGGTAAAAGATTCCTTTTTTTTGTTAGTTTTGAATACTATAAGTGATCGGACCATTTAATTCCCTTCTGAAATGGAAGCAAATTATGATTAGTAAAATAAATAATGAAGAAAATTGTAATATAAAAGAGTATTTTAGGGATAAGTAATTGTATGATACACATCTTTTTTTGTTCAAGGTTATTTAAGGTTTTAAATGTTTAACTTAAATTTTCAATTCGAGGCTATTATTCAAGAAAAGGATTCAGAATGAGAATAGTCAACAAATTAGACCCTCTTAATAATTAGCAATACTTCATTCACAATATCACATGGCCCTAATAACAAACGAGTGGCTTATCCATACAAGAAATAAAATTTTATATATTGTGAAGCGAATAAGTGTTGACCAAAATAAAAGATAAACTTATATTCTACCAAGTGTAGATATCAAAAGAACTCTGCTTATGAAATCGATGAAGCTTTTGATAAAAATTTTCAGTAGAAGCAATTCCTGTAATTCCAAAAGCCAAAATTTTTCATTATATGAACCAACTTGCTGTGAGGGCACTTATAAAAATAATAATAATAATAATAATAATAATAATAATAATAATAATAATAATAATAATAATAATAATAATAATAATATTTTACTCATTTGCCATATATATATGAATCAACATATTTAGTGTCAAAATAAACTCAAAATTGGACATACACTAATATTAAAGTAAAGTATAGATAATTTGTGACATTTAAAGAAAAAGTATATAATATGCTTGAATGCTTTGGAGACGATGCATGATGAAATATCAAATTTTTTTGAAACTGGTAACCAGTATTTATTTACCTAAAAATAACTGCATAAGAAAATTTTTAACTCTATAATTTTTTTTGATCACTAAGAAAAGCTTAATGATTAACAAATTGCTATGAATATCAGCCTCGTATTTCATTCTCCTTACAACCCAAAGTACAACTCAATTGAAAACTTTTAGAATATCATCAAATAATATTTAGTTAAATGTTAACCTCTCACTAATTGAATCAATATATGAATTATTGCCAAAATGAAACCATACCGTCTTAAAAAACTATAAACCATAAATATAGAGCAGTTCAAGAGATCATGTAAAAATGTCAAATTGAATGATTTTTTGTAAAAATAATTATTCAAATAATAATTATGGTCGCATATTTGGCTGCAACAGCTATAACTAAGATATCAAACCTAGTTTATAAGAACTATATGTAATTTATAAAATAACATAATATATATTGTAACAAATCAATGGTAAGAACTTCCACTTTGCTTGTATTAAATTAAGGCTTCTTTTCTAAAGACTATCCCTTCTTTTTATAATTTTGACATTGTTATTTATTATACTAAATAGCTTGTGTATATTTTAATAACGATTATTAGATTATTATTAAAATAAATTTGAATTTGAAATGAGAGGATAAAACCAACCATACTATTAACTTTGCTCTCCTTAAAGAGCACCTTAAAGAATTTAAGTTACAACTTAGCAACCTAGTTAAAATGATAAGTTGATAAGCTTAAAATGTGAAAAAGTGTTGATGGGATTTGAAATACAAAGGCAAAATTAAATAATAAAGGAGCTTGAAGAAAACAAAAATTAGTTAGAGTAACAAATGTAAATTAATTTTATAATATAGAAAAACATATAAAGATGAATAAAAGATCTTACTTTTAGAAATCTCTAATTTAAATTAAGAAATGAATAAAGCGTAGGAGTAAGAGAAAAAACATAGAGAGCAGCTGAATTCCTATATCAGGAATTAACCTTAATTGGATAATTAGATGAAAATAGATTTATCTGGAGAATATGAAAAATTAAAGGAAGAAAATTAATATTTAGAGTCCAAAATATCTTATTTATTAAGCATTAATTAGTTAGAAAATAAATAAGATATTTCATCCATAAAAAAATTAAATCTCGATCAAAGTGAAGCCTACAATCATATTCCTGTTAATATTCAAAAGCTTTTAGAATAACTTTAAAATAATATCTAAAATTATAAATAAGGAAATTCCATCTAAACTAAATACCTTAATTCTATATCTATTTTAAAGGAATTAATTAAATCCTAAATATCATACCTCACTAAACAAGATAATTTCAATAAAGAAGTTGATTATTAATAGCTAGAAATATATTTGACAACTATTAATTAAGATATCGATGAATTGAAAGCTTATGAAACCCCAAAAGCAGTTAGACGAATTTTAAACAATTAAAGTCCATAATTAGGTAGATCATGTTCTTAAGGATTATCATCTGATGAAGTCTTTTCTAAGATAATTGGACATATTGAACATTTGTAATAAGCTGCATCAAATATCCCGACTATCTTAAAATAAATTTCATTGCTTAATTCTTTAGTTAGATTAAAAAATGATGACCTCAAACTTATAAGCAATAATAATAAATTAAAATAATCACCTACAAGATTTTCAATCGCCCTCACTCCGGTTAAATACTTAAGCCCAATTAGAATTTCTCCTTTAAAAATACAACCATTTATTATGAATATGAGTGCTCCTTAGAAAGTTTCTATCATTTAATCAAATATTCATGATTCACATTAAACTAACTAAAGATAAAATGTTATTGATTCATTTCCAATTTAATAAAGAGACGAATTTTAGAATGTTCTAAATTCATTTAGAGATAATTAAGACAAAATAAATTAATTGGAATTTGAAAAATTATAATTATAGGAACAAGTTAAATTGCTGAGATAAAAATATGACTAGTTGATTGAAAACTAAATATAGTAGCCTTAAGACTAAAACTTAAGGTAATTGGAAAGCTTGGATGCAGAAAATTTAATACTAAAAAGATAAAATATAGATTTAAAGTAATAAGTTAAGGAATTAATAGATGATAGAATAAAACTATAATAATAATATGATATAAGTAAAAATTAATATTAAGAAATATTAAATCAATTACATCAGGAAAAAAAACCTGAAGATTATAAGAAACAAATAGTATTATAATAGGAGCAAATACATAATTTGGAAAATGAAAAATTGATGAAAAATGACGAATTTAAAATTTTAATGGAAGAAAATGACACTTTGAAAAAAAATTAAATCTAACTTTAAGATTAAATAATAGAATTATTAAAATAATTGAATTAATAGAATATATAATAGTTTGATGAAAGAGATGTTGAGAGTATAGACGAATAGCAGGAAGATAGATTAAAATAAATGAATATTTTGCAAACAGAAAATATAATATTAAAAGATCAGCTTGCAGAGGTTGAATAGTAAAGATAAGATGATCTTAAGTCTTTCAAATCAATTATAGGAAATGGTGCAGATTAATAATGTATTGCAGATTTAGTGACTTAAAAATAAAAATTATAATCTGATTAAAGATAATAGTTAATTTAGATAAATAAATTATAGTAAGAACTTATAGAATAATAAAATGAAAATAATTAATTAAAATAACAATTTAAAGAAATAAAAGAATAGAAATAGTTTAAAGATCCAAAAGATGCTTCTTAATAAACACAGAATGAATTAGATCAATTAAAAAAGGAATAAATCAAATTAAAGGATGAATTACTCTAAACCTAGTAAAAGCTAAATGAATAATTGCAATAATAAATCTAAAAACCTCAAGGTACTGAGCAACAGATTCAATTCTAAACAGATCCTGAAAAAGTCTTATAAATCAGCTCACTCTAGGCAGAATGTGTGAATCTCAAGAAACAAATATAGGATGTTGAGTAGTAGAGAAAGGATGATCTAAAATCTTTTGAGAAAATGCTTGGAGAAGGAGTCAATGAATCCCAAGTTATTGGCTTGACTTCTGATAAATAATAACTCTAATCTGATTTAAGACAATTACAAAATAAATGTGATCAATTGTAGTAAGAGCAAATCGCATTGTAGAATTAATTACTTTAGAAGAACAAATAAATTGTGGATTTACAGGATGAAACCAAACAAAACGAGAAAGAAGAAAAAATTCGAGAAAAGGATAACGAGATAAAACTTTTAGAACAACAAGTACAAACAGCTAAAGATCAATATTAAGAGCTTTTAGACTTGCAATAATAGAACTTAACTCCTGGAGGATAAAAAGAAAAGATATTACAATAAACCAAAGAAATTCATGATTAATAAGAAGTGATTAATGAACTTCAACAGAAGGTGGAAACTGAAGTGCCACAGCTTTAAGGACAATTAACCGAAGCTTAGGAGAAATTGAAGGATGCACAAAAGGATGCAGAATTGTGGAATAAAAAGTATCATGAATTGCTAGAGAGCAAATAAACTTAAGTTCAGAACATTCTTGCTCCAGAAGATATTGAAAAATTAACTTCTGAAGAAGCCAAAAATGCTCTTACATAATTGAACAAGTAATATTCAGATAAAGCTCAAGAAAATAGAGAATTAGAGATGGTTGTTTAGCACCTTCGATAAGATCTGGATTCTTCATAAGAGAAATTATAACAGCAAGTGAAAGAAGCACAACAAGAAAAAGCTGTACAAGAATAATAAACTCAACTCCTTAATAATTAACTGAAAGATTTGGTTGCAAAGGATGAAGCTCAAAGAGCAGAAATCTTGGATTTGAAAAACAAAGTTGATTAAGAGAATGCTGACTTTTGGAAAAAACAATATTAGTAATTGGCAGAAAAGTAACCTGAAATTAGCTCAACATAGGCAGGAGACCTACAAGAACAACAAGTAGCCTAACAAGAAGGAGAAGTGAAGCCCAGAGAAGGTTTGAATGAAGAAGTTGAATTACTGAAAATAAAATTAGAAAAATTAAATGATCTGTAAAAAGAAAATGAAGAATTGAAAGCATAATAGATATTAATTTAAGATGAATTACTCTAAACCTAGTAAAAGCTAAATGAATAATTGCAATAATAAATCTAAAAACCTCAAGGTACTGAGCAACAGATTCAATTCTAAACAGATCCTGAAAAAGTCTTATAAATCAGCTCACTCTAGGCAGAATGTGTGAATCTCAAGAAACAAATATAGGATGTTGAGTAGTAGAGAAAGGATGATCTAAAATCTTTTGAGAAAATGCTTGGAGAAGGAGTCAATGAATCCCAAGTTATTGGCTTGACTTCTGATAAATAATAACTCTAATCTGATTTAAGACAATTACAAAATAAATGTGATCAATTGTAGTAAGAGCAAATCGCATTGTAGAATTAATTACTTTAGAAGAACAAATAAATTGTGGATTTACAGGATGAAACCAAACAAAACGAGAAAGAAGAAAAAATTCGAGAAAAGGATAACGAGATAAAACTTTTAGAACAACAAGTACAAACAGCTAAAGATCAATATTAAGAGCTTTTAGACTTGCAATAATAGAACTTAACTCCTGGAGGATAAAAAGAAAAGATATTACAATAAACTAAAGAAATTCATGATTAATAAGAAGTGATTAATGAACTTCAACAGAAAGTGGAAACTGAGATCCCTTAACTCAAATAACTTTTATGTGAAGCTGAAGAAAAATTTAAAGTAGCTTAAAATCAAGCAGATTTATGGAACAAAAATTATAAAGATCTTTAAGAAGCTAAATAAGAATAAATTGATGATTATGTCAAGCAAGATGAAATACAAAGTTATACTTTAGATTAAGCTAAAGATACTTTATTAAAATTGAATGAAGAATTGAAGAAATAAAAGTAGATCAATAACGAATAATTATAAGTTAACGAAAATCTATAAAAATAGTTAAAAGATCCAAAAGATGCTACATAATAAACACAGAATGAATTAGATCAATTAAAAAAGGAATAAATCAAATTAAAGGATGAATTACTCTAAACCTAGTAAAAGCTAAATGAATAATTGCAATAATAAATCTAAAAACCTCAAGGTGTTGAGCAACAGATTCAATTCTAAACAGATCCTGAAAAAGTCTTATAAATCAGCTCACTCTAGGCAGAATGTGTGAATCTCAAGAAACAAATATAGGATGTTGAGTAGTAGAGAAAGGATGATCTAAAATCTTTTGAGAAAATGCTTGGAGAAGGAGTCAATGAATCCCAAGTTATTGGCTTGACTTCTGATAAATAGTAACTCTAATCTGATTTAAGACAATTACAAAATAAATGTGATCAATTGTAGTAAGAGCAAATCGCATTGTAGAATTAATTACTTTAGAAGAACAAATAAATTGTGGATTTACAGGATGAAACCAAACAAAACGAGAAAGAAGAAAAAATTCGAGAAAAGGATAACGAGATAAAACTTTTAGAACAACAAGTACAAACAGCTAAAGATCAGTATTAAGAGCTTTTAGACTTGCAATAATAGAACTTAACTCCTGGAGGACAAAAAGAAAAGATATTACAATAAACTAAAGAAATTCATGATTAATAAGAAGTGATTAATGAACTTCAACAGAAAGTGGAAACTGAGATCCCTTAACTCAAATAACTTTTATGTGAAGCTGAAGAAAAATTTAAAGTAGCTTAAAATCAAGCAGATTTATGGAACAAAAATTATAAAGATCTTTAAGAAGCTAAATAAGAATAAATTGATGATTATGTCAAGCAAGATGAAATACAAAGTTATACTTTAGATTAAGCTAAAGATACTTTATTAAAATTGAATGAAGAATTGAAGAAATAAAAGTAGATCAATAACGAATAATTATAAGTTAACGAAAATCTATAAAAATAGTTAAAAGATCCAAAAGATGCTACATAATAAACACAGAATGAATTAGATCAATTAAAAAAGGAATAAATCAAATTAAAGGATGAATTACTCTAAACCTAGTAAAAGCTAAATGAATAATTGCAATAATAAATCTAAAAACCTCAAGGTACTGAGCAACAGATTCAATTCTAAACAGATCCTGAAAAAGTCTTATAAATCAGCTCACTCTAGGCAGAATGTGTGAATCTCAAGAAACAAATATAGGATGTTGAGTAGTAGAGAAAGGATGATCTAAAATCTTTTGAGAAAATGCTTGGAGAAGGAGTCAATGAATCCCAAGTTATTGGCTTGACTTCTGATAAATAATAACTCTAATCTGATTTAAGACAATTACAAAATAAATGTGATCAATTGTAGTAAGAGCAAATCGCATTGTAGAATTAATTACTTTAGAAGAACAAATAAATTGTGGATTTACAGGATGAAACCAAACAAAACGAGAAAGAAGAAAAAATTCGAGAAAAGGATAACGAGATAAAACTTTTAGAACAACAAGTACAAACAGCTAAAGATCAATATTAAGAGCTTTTAGACTTGCAATAATAGAACTTAACTCCTGGAGGATAAAAAGAAAAGATATTACAATAAACCAAAGAAATTCATGATTAATAAGAAGTGATTAATGAACTTCAACAGAAGGTGGAAACTGAAGTGCCACAGCTTTAAGGACAATTAACCGAAGCTTAGGAGAAATTGAAGGATGCACAAAAGGATGCAGAATTGTGGAATAAAAAGTATCATGAATTGCTAGAGAGCAAATAAACTTAAGTTCAGAACATTCTTGCTCCAGAAGATATTGAAAAATTAACTTCTGAAGAAGCCAAAAATGCTCTTACATAATTGAACAAGTAATATTCAGATAAAGCTCAAGAAAATAGAGAATTAGAGATGGTTGTTTAGCACCTTCGATAAGATCTGGATTCTTCATAAGAGAAATTATAACAGCAAGTGAAAGAAGCACAACAAGAAAAAGCTGTACAAGAATAATAAACTCAACTCCTTAATAATTAACTGAAAGATTTGGTTGCAAAGGATGAAGCTCAAAGAGCAGAAATCTTGGATTTGAAAAACAAAGTTGATTAAGAGAATGCTGACTTTTGGAAAAAACAATATTAGTAATTGGCAGAAAAGTAACCTGAAATTAGCTCAACATAGGCAGGAGACCTACAAGAACAACAAGTAGCCTAACAAGAAGGAGAAGTGAAGCCCAGAGAAGGTTTGAATGAAGAAGTTGAATTACTGAAAATAAAATTAGAAAAATTAAATGATCTGTAAAAAGAAAATGAAGAATTGAAAGCATAATAGATATTAATTTAAGATGAATTACTCTAAACCTAGTAAAAGCTAAATGAATAATTGCAATAATAAATCTAAAAACCTCAAGGTACTGAGCAACAGATTCAATTCTAAACAGATCCTGAAAAAGTCTTATAAATCAGCTCACTCTAGGCAGAATGTGTGAATCTCAAGAAACAAATATAGGATGTTGAGTAGTAGAGAAAGGATGATCTAAAATCTTTTGAGAAAATGCTTGGAGAAGGAGTCAATGAATCCCAAGTTATTGGCTTGACTTCTGATAAATAATAACTCTAATCTGATTTAAGACAATTACAAAATAAATGTGATCAATTGTAGTAAGAGCAAATCGCATTGTAGAATTAATTACTTTAGAAGAACAAATAAATTGTGGATTTACAGGATGAAACCAAACAAAACGAGAAAGAAGAAAAAATTCGAGAAAAGGATAACGAGATAAAACTTTTAGAACAACAAGTACAAACAGCTAAAGATCAATATTAAGAGCTTTTAGACTTGCAATAATAGAACTTAACTCCTGGAGGATAAAAAGAAAAGATATTACAATAAACCAAAGAAATTCATGATTAATAAGAAGTGATTAATGAACTTCAACAGAAGGTGGAAACTGAAGTGCCACAGCTTTAAGGACAATTAACCGAAGCTTAGGAGAAATTGAAGGATGCACAAAAGGATGCAGAATTGTGGAATAAAAAGTATCATGAATTGCTAGAGAGCAAATAAACTTAAGTTCAGAACATTCTTGCTCCAGAAGATATTGAAAAATTAACTTCTGAAGAAGCCAAAAATGCTCTTACATAATTGAACAAGTAATATTCAGATAAAGCTCAAGAAAATAGAGAATTAGAATAAAACTCAAAAGAGTAAGCACTTGCTTTATTTTAAAAATAATAAGAAATAGAATCTTTATAAATCAAACTTGATTAGATAACAGAATGTTCTAATATATAAAAGCAATAATTATAAAGCACTACTGATGATTACACTTCATAAATAGATTTGTTAAAATAATAAATTTCAGATCTCAAATCCTAAATTGATTAGAACAATGCTGCTTTTTGGAAATAATCATATTATTCATTATTAGAAGAAACAAAATAAATAAATTAAAATGTTCCTCAATAAGATATACAATAAAAAGAAGAATAAATTTCTGATAATCAATCTGTGATTAATGCTTAAAAACCATAAGAAGAATAATAGCTTTTGAAATAATAATATGAGGAATTAACATAGATTAAACTTTAGCTTCAACAAGAATTAATAATTGCTTAAAATCGTATATCTTAACTTTTAAATGATTAAATAGAAAAGCCAGCATTTTAAGAAGAAGGAATTTCTTTCTCTACTGATCCATAAAAAGCCTTACTTCTCTCTTAATTAGAACAAAAAAATTTGTAATTAAGTCAATAAATTTCTGAAATTGAACAGTTGAGAAAAGATGATTTACAAAAATTCAAAGATATGATTGGCAATGGAGTCAATGAAAGTACTGTGGTAACTCTTATGCAAGAAAAATAAGCATTATAATCTTAAATAATTAAATTAAAAACTTAAATAGATTAAAATTAATAAGAATAAATTGCAATTTCAAATTAATTAATTTCAAAAACAAGCTAACTGGTAGAATTATAAGAAAGTTTAAAAAATGATGTAAGTTAGTAAAAAATAAAATAATTACAAGATGAAAATAATTTGCTTCAACAAGAATTATCAAAAGCCAAAAAATCATACCAAGAATTACTTGAGTTACAATCAGAAAATTTAACACCAAATGGATAAAGAGAAAAAATTTTAACCTAATAGAAACAGATTCATGATTTAGAAGAATAAAGTTTAATTTCTTAATAAAAAAATGAGAATGAGGTATCATCATTGGTAGGAGAATTAAGCGAGGTTAAATAAAAATTAAAAGATTCCTTAACTGATAGTCAATTATGGAACAAAAAATATCATGAATTGCTTGAAAACCGTTAAAATCTTCCAACATTAGAGATTGAAGATTTACAAAAATAATTATTAGAATCCTAGTAAGATACAGAAAAGGAGAGGGAAAAATATAATAATTTATTATAAGAATAGTATTAGCAACTATCGCCTACTTCTGCTCAGGCTAAACTTTTGTTAGCTATAGATTAAATTAATTAATTAAAACAGCAATTAGAAAAAAATTAGGCTTAAGAAATATATTAAGAGCCTTAGTAATAGATTGATAATTTGTAAGAGGAAATAGAGAACTTAAGAAAAAAAATTGAAAATTTAGAAAAAATAAATCAAATAAGCAATGAATAAATTGAATATTTAAAAGGGTAATTATAAAAAAAAGAAATGAATTAGCCCAGTTAACAATTTGCAACTGATAATTAAGAATTGTTGTCAATCTAAGAATAAAATATCATATTTTAGTCTTAAATTAATCAAAAACAAAAGGAATTGAAAGAAGCAGAAAACCTAATTTAATAACAACAATAAAAAATATTAGATGCTTAGAATGATCAACAAAAAGTAGAATTTTGGAAAAAATAATACACAGATTTATTATCTGAAAAATATCCTTAAGAGAAATCTAAATAAATATAAGAATAAAAAGAACAATAAGTTAGTGAAGAACCTGCACTATAAGAAAATCTACAAACATAATAACTAGAGAATTAAATACATTAATTGTAATTGGATAAGGCAAATCTCTCTTAATAACTTATAGAATATTAAAATAAAGCCAATACTGCATTGTAGCCAAAATAATAATAAGAATTTATAAACTCCCGTCAAATTGAACAAATTTAGAGTTTAGAGAAATAAATTGATGAATTAAAGAAAGAAAATAGAGAGTAAATATATTTTAATTATTTTTAGTATTATTGAATAAATGAGAACAGCGCTAAATGGAAGCGATTAGTAAAAATAAATAGCTGATCTATTAGAAATTAACAGCAGTTTAAAGTTAAATAATGCAAAACTATTGATTGACTTAGAAATAGATTAGAAAGAACTAATAAGATAATAATAACAAGTTTAACTTCTAAACAATACTATTAATGATCTTTAAGATCCAACTGTGGCAGAAAATACAAGATTGCGTGTCTCAGATTTAGAGAAATAAATTGATTTAATTGGATAACAAGTTGATTTCTGGAAACTAAAATATCAGTAAGTCTTAAGTGAATATAGTCAACAATTATCTCCTACAAGTGTTCAAAATAAAATGTTGGAGTAAACAAAATTAATTCATGACCAGGAAGAAGCATTGATGCTTTTATAAAAAACAAAAGATTAATCAAAATTAGAAAGTGATTCTGAAATTAATAATCTAAAATTGTAAATTAAAGATCTTTAAGAAGAAAGTTTAATTTTGAAAAAAAAATTGCAAGATTATTAAAACTAAACTCAATAATTATCAATCTAAAGAGTTATATCTTAAGGAGAAAACGAACTTTAGGTCTAATATTGGAAGGATAAATATCAAGAGGCTTTAGAAGCTTTATACAAAGATCCTGAACATGTTTAAGAAATACTAAAATAAAAGGAAGAGGTTGCTTAAACTTTATATTTTGATAAAGATTCACAGTCTATTCATGATTTTGAATCTGATTTGATTGAAAAATTGAGAAGTGAAAATTAAACATTTTAAGGGGAGGTCACATTTTATAAAAAGAGAGTCTATGAATTAGAATAATAATAAAAAATTGAACCTAGCTAATAAGACACTGTATAATCTAGACAATATCAAATTTCTCAACTCGAAAAAGACCTTCAGAAAGCTATGTCAAATTGTGCTTATTGGGAATAGAAATATAATGAAATAGCTTAACAGAGTATCAAAATTGAAACTCAAAAGTATGGAGGTGATCCAACCTAAACTGCAACTTTTTGGAGATAAAAATATGATCAAGTAGAGTTAAATAGATAACAATTGATTTAAGTAATTGCTGATAAAGAAGAATAATTAGAATTAAATATGTAATCATTCTAACAAATTCTTAAAGATGAATTAAAGGAAGAACTTACTAAAATAAGAACATAAGAAAGAGAAAAAATAGAACAATAATTCTAGCAAAATTATCCTTAGAGTGAATCAATTTTAATTTAAAAATTAAAAGATTCTCATGAAATTGAAAAAGAATAGCTTATTTAAGAATTTTTAAGAAGAATTGATTAACTATTATAGAGCAATGTATAAAAGTATCCTGAAGGAGAAAATTGGAAAGAGTTGATATTAAGATATGAAAAATAAAGATAAAATGAGCTCTACGAACTAAGACAACATTTAGAAATTCTATAAAGATCATAAATATCTACAAAGGATATAGAATTTTATGCTGAAAGAAGAGCATACGAAAACACAATTAATGAATTAAGAGCTAGAATATCATAAGAAGATCCTCAAGAACTTTATGATACAATTGAGTATTAAAGAAAAGTGATTTTAGATTATGAAAATCAAATTTCATTTTTATAAAATGAGCGAACAAATCTAGAAATGCATATTATGTAATTAAATTAGTAAATTGATCAATTAAAGGATAATATTTCAAAATTCTAAATATAATAAGATCATAGAAAAAGATAAAGAGCTGAAGTACTGGAAGCTATAGAAGAGATGAAAAGAGAAAGAGCTGCTGATAGAGATTCTTTCAAATCTCCTTATAGACAAATGAGACAAAGTTAAAGAAGAACATCTTGGGATAGGTATCCAAAAGACTTTTTAAGACCTTCTAATATTTAATAGCCATCCCCTTATTAACATTAAAGTTCACCTATGCACAAAATTCCATTCCAGCAATCCTAATTTATATCTCCTAAATAGGAAAATAGAGACATAAATTTAAAATTATAAGAATTAGATGAAGTTAAATATAAGTATTAATCTGCTTTGAATAATATTTTATAACTTGAAACCTAAGTGATAGAAAAGCTTCAGCAAGATGATTTGTAAATTGAATGAGATTTTTAAGAAATAATTATTTTTAAATTTATAAAAATATGATAATAAAAAATTTTAATCTTCATTCCAAATAAAATCTTCATTATTTGATTTAATTTATTTGAAAAAGAAGAATAGTGAAAATTCATATTTAGATTAATTTTTTCGAAATTCATTAAATTAAAATTATATTATATTAGTATTAAATAAATTGGAAAACTTCTTAATACAAGAAAAACAAAAATTATTAAGAAAGGCTTATTTTTTTTTATAGTCAAATATATATAAAATAATTATAATTTTAGAACCAACTTGAAAAAATTAAATCTTGAATAATTATTTTTGTTATTATGTCTTGGAATTAAAATATCAAAAATAATGATATGATTTCCATTTTTTATTACAAAATAAACTAACATCTTAAGATACATTATTATTTTATATAATATTATTAATTTTAATTAAAAGTATTTATAAGATTTTATAGCAAATTTCATGTCAGTACAGATTCTAAAAGTTAATAATTAAAATGAATATTGTAATATCTGGGAATTCAATCTGATATTAATAGATATTAGGTGGCTATAAAAAACCATTTAAATGTATTAAAAATTATAAAAGTTCTTATTACGTTAATAATAAGTTATTTTATCAAAGGCTTTTAATTGAATGTTTAAAAGGAATATAAATTTTAGAAAGAATAACTTAAAGTAAATCAGAATTTAATATCGATAAAGATGTGAAAATATAAAGCTATTTGATTTCATCAATAAAAACAAAAAAATAAACTATTTAAAAATCTAAAAAGATGATAATGATATGAATCATTATGAGTTAATTGTTAATTACTTTATTTGAATTATTTATTGATATATTTTTATAAAAACATCATATCATATTTTTTACAATTTTTCATTAATAAATGCTTAACCTTAAGCAAAATTTCCAATGTATTAAAATAATTATGCTTCCTCAACTTGACTAAATACAACTTCTGACTCACTTCTTATCAAATCTATTTGATTCAATGTAGATAAGAGTTTTCTACCAAATTCTTAATCACCAGGTTCATTTCCAGCCTAAGATTATAGATTTTCTTACAATAACTTTTTCTAAATAAGAAAGTATTTTTTCTATATTTTTGATATTTTCTTAGACTAGTTATGATGGATTTGATGTATTTACAATTTTGAAATCCTTTTATTATAAATTAGGTGCTAAAAATGGCCAAGCTTATAATAAATTTTCATCTGAAAATGAAATCTTTATTGGCATTGTATTAAAGGATGCCACTGCTGCGTAGTGCTTTAAGGATTGATTCAATTTAAAAGCCTAGCTATTTTAGTGAAAGTACTTTCATTTCTATCTTATTAGTATTTAATGTTGGATTAATTTTAAGAATTATAGGTTAACCTAATACTGCAGTAGCATTGAATCCATTCTCCTTTTTACTAAATTCAGTTGAAAGATAAGCAACACCTATGTCTAATGATAAATTTTTGGTTGTAACAAATCCTCCTAATAAGACTTCTTGTGGATTTGCTTATAAATGANTTTTAGAACCAACTTGAAAAAATTAAATCTTGAATAATTATTTTTGTTATTATGTCTTGGAATTAAAATATCAAAAATAATGATATGATTTCCATTTTTTATTACAAAATAAACTAACATCTTAAGATACATTATTATTTTATATAATATTATTAATTTTAATTAAAAGTATTTATAAGATTTTATAGCAAATTTCATGTCAGTACAGATTCTAAAAGTTAATAATTAAAATGAATATTGTAATATCTGGGAATTCAATCTGATATTAATAGATATTAGGTGGCTATAAAAAACCATTTAAATGTATTAAAAATTATAAAAGTTCTTATTACGTTAATAATAAGTTATTTTATCAAAGGCTTTTAATTGAATGTTTAAAAGGAATATAAATTTTAGAAAGAATAACTTAAAGTAAATCAGAATTTAATATCGATAAAGATGTGAAAATATAAAGCTATTTGATTTCATCAATAAAAACAAAAAAATAAACTATTTAAAAATCTAAAAAGATGATAATGATATGAATCATTATGAGTTAATTGTTAATTACTTTATTTGAATTATTTATTGATATATTTTTATAAAAACATCATATCATATTTTTTACAATTTTTCATTAATAAATGCTTAACCTTAAGCAAAATTTCCAATGTATTAAAATAATTATGCTTCCTCAACTTGACTAAATACAACTTCTGACTCACTTCTTATCAAATCTATTTGATTCAATGTAGATAAGAGTTTTCTACCAAATTCTTAATCACCAGGTTCATTTCCAGCCTAAGATTATAGATTTTCTTACAATAACTTTTTCTAAATAAGAAAGTATTTTTTCTATATTTTTGATATTTTCTTAGACTAGTTATGATGGATTTGATGTATTTACAATTTTGAAATCCTTTTATTATAAATTAGGTGCTAAAAATGGCCAAGCTTATAATAAATTTTCATCTGAAAATGAAATCTTTATTGGCATTGTATTAAAGGATGCCACTGCTGCGTAGTGCTTTAAGGATTGATTCAATTTAAAAGCCTAGCTATTTTAGTGAAAGTACTTTCATTTCTATCTTATTAGTATTTAATGTTGGATTAATTTTAAGAATTATAGGTTAACCTAATACTGCAGTAGCATTGAATCCATTCTCCTTTTTACTAAATTCAGTTGAAAGATAAGCAACACCTATGTCTAATGATAAATTTTTGGTTGTAACAAATCCTCCTAATAAGACTTCTTGTGGATTTGCTTATAAATGACTTAAGTATAAATCTTTTGCATCACTAAAATCAAATGTATACTCCTAAAAGATTGATGCAAAAAAATACATTAGTTTCATCACCTGGGTCTACTAATAGAGCAAAACATTCAGTTATATGAACCTTATTAGTATAGACTGTTCCTAATAATGCACCACCAACTATTGTCTCCTCTTATCTTGAAGCACCAAATTTTCTGTAATGCAAGTCTAATATTTAGACTATCACAAGTGGATGTATATCAATTTCAAAGTTTATGTTGCAACACAAATCAACTGTTTCTTGTGCCATAAATTAAATTATTTTATGAAATAAGAGTAATAAATATAATAGTAGAATAGAGAAAATTTTAGATAGGGATTAGAAATCAAAGAAATAAGCAGGTTTTTTAATAAAAAGGATGGTAGCTTCTAATTTTAATTCAGATTCTTCTATCTTATATAATAATAACACTAGCATAGAAAATCAGAAATTTTTCAATTTGGAATTTCAATAATATTTTCCCCAAAAATTACAATCCCAATGCTTATTTCAAATAGATACTTTTTATAAGTATTGTTTATTTCTATGATTGGTCTAAAATAAATTCAAATTAAGGATAATTAAAATAATGTGTAAAGCTAATTATTTATTATAATTAGTTTCATGATTATTGCTTTATTATTACTTATAACGCAATATTATGTTAATAATATAATGCTTTAATTGTATATTTTACAATTTTATTCATACGAATATAGCATTTTAGGCATTTGATAGATATTAATAGTTTAATCTAAAAGAGAAAATAAACCTTATAATTTAATATAATAATTTTAGTGTGTAAGTTAAAACATCATTATTTTATTAACTTTTGGTGAAAATCATTTATATTACACAAAATCAATGATAAAGGTTTTACTCATTTAAGTCTTATTGGAAGATTAATTTTAATTATACAACCATATAAAATAAATAATTTAATGAACTATGCTTATTATTAAAAATGATTAAAAGAAAGAATAATTTAATATATTCAAATCATTAGTTTAATTCATTATTAATTAAGATTTAGGATTTAAATATTAAATAACACAATACCCATTCAATAGAAAAAAATCAATTTTATAAGAGTCCTCAATATTTAATATTCCATAAATAATTTTAAAACAATGCTTCAGTCTCTAGTTCTATATCATAGACTTGAAATCTATTTAAAAAGCAAATGATAAAAATATTGTTTAATGAATTAAAAAAAAATTTTTCCGATACCGGGGATTGAACCCGGGTCCCCAGGGTGAAAACCTGATATCCTAACCACTAGACTATACCGGAAATGTTAATGATTATATGAAATTCTTTTAATATTAAGCAGAGTATTTACATACTTTTTGCTATAACCAAATTAAGAATAAATTATAATTATTTTTTATAACACATATCAATTCCAATTAATAAGACTAAAAATAATAAAAATTAAAAGTATGATAAATAAATTAATCAAGTAGTATTGATCTAAAAATTTAAGCTTTTTTTAAGGCTTTTATCAAATACATAATACTTCTATTTGATTATAGATGCTAATAAATGGCTATTCAAACCCAAAGAGAATGAAATATTAAAATTAAATCTGCTGTAGTCAAATTTTGGTTTTTTGTTTATTTATAGCCCCAAAAAGCTAAAATTAATAAGAGAGGTAAAAATTTTGAATAAAAATTATCATTTATTAATGTTTAATAGATTGTAACATTATCTAAACAGGTAAAAATCCATCAACTTTCTCACTAATTAACTCGAATTGAGTGTTGCAAAACTCTCTTTAATAATAGCACCAAGATTTTTTTTAAACTAATTTGACAGGACCCTTGAACTTATTCTAATAAAAATAATCTTTAGCAGTTTATGAAACAGCTGGATAAAACTATTTGAAGATGTAATTTATAATTAGCTTGTTAGCTTATAAGATTGTTAAATTTAGTAAGAAAAATAATTTATTGTTGTTGGAGTTTAAGATAAAGGCAAAAATATTTAACTAATTCATAAATTAAATTTAAGGAACATTGGTATGACTTCACATAAAATTATGAAAATGAATTAGCTTATAAATCTAAATAATCTTTAGACTAAACTATTGTATGTTATGATGAAAGAATACTAGATTTAGATTTATTCAAATCTAATTGCTGTTTAATTTAGAGTGCAAATATATTTCTTATATTATTTATTAATATCATTATATTTATCATAAATGTCTTTCGAAATTACAGAGAAAATGATAGTGAACACAATTGCGGGATTTGGACATGTGATTAAACTTCCTGAAGGACCTGCTCCAGAATAATTAATAGCAGAAGAAGAGCTTCAATTAAATCACTAATAATCAGCAGAGAAGTCAATTATTTCTTGTCCAAGTTCTCCAGCACCACCAGAAGTAAAGGAATAAGGAAATGAAAATGTCTAACAACCAGATGAACTTATAGAAAAAAAAAATGAAAAATAAATAGAGAAATAACCAGATAATCAATAGGAAAAACAAAATCAACCTTAGGCTCAACCTTCTAAGATTGTTGCTCCACAAAAAGAAGTACCTGAAAATTAAGCTAATTTACCACCTCCTTTAAATTGCAGTCGATAATCCTCTTCATAACCTTCTTTAGAAAAATAAATATCAATGGCTGAGGATCCTTTACCTTTTTCAAATTCTCTTCCTTTTTAATAATAAAGTTCAGTTGAAGGTTAGCCATAAAATAAAAAAGCCCCTATTTTAAAGAGATTAACTTGTGATTTAAAAGAGTCTTTAGCTTTAGCCAAGAAATTAGAAATTAAATATAAATACCCTTATTCTAATGATGAAAGATTAATCACTGTTGATTTTTAACTAGGTTAGATTACAACTATGGTAAAGCATATCAGTAATGTGATATTTCTATTAGTTAAAACATTTTTTGGTTAAAGGAATTACTACTTAGTAATTGTCCCTGTTACTTTTACATTGGAATAATTAAGGTCTTTTATAATAGATGGGATTGGATAGAATTAAAAAATGTTTCATAATATTAAGCTAATCCATCCTATGATTTAATTAAAAGAATTAAAGGATTCTTAAATTAAACTATCAGAAGTAGGTTTAAAAGATTTTTCCTAACTCATATTTTTAGCTGAGATGACTTTCACATGGGATCCTATTAAAAAAGGAAAAAGTGTAATATTATCAAATAATAATTTAACGGCAAACAAAAAAGGATAATCTGATTATCAAACTGTTCTAGGAACATTGGCTTTGAATTCAGGAAGACATTATTGGGAAATTAAGATAGAAAAGTATGTAGATGAGGAAGACATTTTCATAGGAATAGCAAGGTATATATCATAATATTTATAAATTAGAAAAGAGATTGACTTGTATACTTAACCTACTACAACTGGACATTTTTATGGTTATATTTGTTTATGTGCAAGAAAATTTGGAGCAGATGGATAGATATCAGATTATGGATATTCGGCTGTATAGAATGATACAATAGGTGTGCTACTTGAATTTAGAAGTGGTATTGGAACTTTATCATTTTATCGAAATGGTGTAAAATGTGGAGAAGCATTTAACAATTTAACAGGAACATTTTACCCTGCTTTGAGTATGTTTTATGGAGAAGTTTAAGTTACATTGGATTCAAAAGCTCCACTACCAGCAAGTTGAATGAAAATGAATTAAAATGTTATTATTATAAATTAAAAGATATTATATGATTTAATAAGGTTTTCTTGATTTTTTATTTTATAAATATGTAATAAAATAAGGATTAATTATAATAATCATAATTAGAGTTCTAAAAAGTATTCAAAAAAAAATCATAAATCTTTGAACATTTGGCCACTTATAAACAATATCATTAGAATATGAGAAATTCATTTAAAATTTTTTGATTGGATTAATATTCAAATATAAATATTTTCTTTTATGAACAATCTAAAATGATTTTATTCATATGATTTTTATAGATAATAACACAACATTAAATTTCTTAAATTAAAAATAAAAATCATTGGATTTCAAATAGAATTTTGTGATGAAAAATGTAATTTATACTTTGAATAGATATTCAAAATACACTTACACAAATACATCCTGATAGAAAGATTCGTGAAGTAATTAACAAAGCTTAATATATCATCATTATTTAAATGGCTCTGGGATTTCAAGAATTATGTAATGCTAAATCAAATATAATCATGATCTTACAATTCATAATATATTTATAATACTAATTGATTATCTTATAATCTTCAAATATTACATAAGTTTTATTAATCAAAATGAAAATGATGAAGTTTTTCTTTATCTTAAGAATTATATCAATATTTAATTATAATTTTTTAAAATTTGAATAGAATTGATTTAGGATTTATTTAACCCAATTAATGTTATATAATTAATGTACATAAGATATATCTATCATTTTTTTCCTTTTTATTTACCAGCAGTTTTAGCAGCTGCCTTTTAAGCTGCCTTAGTTTCAGCTTTTTATGCAACTTTTTATGTACTAGTTACTCCTTTTCTTTATGTTTTTTAGGCATCAATTTATTTTTATTTTCTATCTTTAATCTCTCTAGCTGCTTATTCAGCTTAAGCCTTTCTAGTTTCTAAGTTTAATAACAAAATTTTACTATCATCTTCTTTTCTTCTTCTACGAATTTCTTCTAATGATATACCAACAATAGCTCTTTAAACTTTAAGATTTCTAATTCTTCGTTTTTTTGCACCTTCATCAGTTTTTATTTTCTTGTTTAATCTTCTCCAAGCAACAGTCCATTAAATTTCTTGGCTTTTAATCTAAATATTTAATGCATATTATACTTTTCTAGCAGAGAAGGCTCTACTCTTTTAGTTTAAATAATAAAATAATCTACCATCCTTAGCCACAAATCTTCTTCCATGTCCAGGGTAAATACGCCATTCACTAAATGAACACAAATCAGTCTTTATAACCATTTTAAATAAAAATAAAAATCTTTTTAATAAAATTATTTGTTTATGTTATTTCTCAAATATAATCATAGATAAGTTGATCATAAATTAAGTAATAAAAAATATATCAATATATATATAATAAATTCTTAATTGTTTCATATTAATTAAAGATATTTTATGAATATATTATATCTTTAATCATTGGTTTTTATAATTAATTATTTGAAGAATTTAATTAAAATCAAGAGATGTTTTATTCAAATGTGAAATTGCGATTAAAAGATCAAATTTAAAAATATAAAAAGTAAAAAGAAAATTAATAACTTAAAAGCTCTGAATAAAT